CAGAGCCTGGCCCCAGGGGGTAAATGGACCGCAGGGCAGCGTTCTTTCTGGGGTGACCTGACTTGCAGGGCTCAGAGGGACCTTTGCCCTGCACTGATGCTGGTTGTTATTTTAAGTCTGATCAGAGCAAGGCTCCCTTTTTAAAGAAGAGCCCACGGGCCCACCCAAATGTGGGGACAGCCAATGAGATGGGGGTGGCCTGGGGGTCTGGCTCTGCTGGGGGGGGCTCTGTAGGGGACCTGTCCGCGGGCCCACTGCTTCCACTTGAGCCCCTTTAGCAGCCCCCCAGAGTGGCCTGCAGCTCAGGGTGGCATAGGGAGCCCGCGGTGGGGCCCAGAGACGGAGGCTGGGAAGAGCCACTCTTTGAGGTGGCCCTCCGTCAGCCCTGCAGTAGGTGGACGCTTGGCCCTTGTTTCTGGAGAGCCCCCCATCGTGCTGTTTACTCTTCCCCATACCCCCGGCCTTCTGTCCAGGGATGCAGGCCCCAGCATGCATGGGCCTTTCCCCACCCCAGCCAGGAACTCACTGCCCCTGGGGGGTGGACCCTGCCAGAGGGTCTGTTCGGGACCCCTTCTGCACCTGCTGTGAAGTGTCAAGGGCTCCAGAAGTGCTGAACAAGGGCGCCAACACTGTGGGGCATGCAGGCCAGGCCCTGGTCTTGCTGAGGCTTGTAGGCAGCCCTAAGTTGGCCGCACAAGGAACTGGGGTCTGGGTGAGGCATGTCTGTTGGGGTGAAGGAAGGACTAGAGGAAGAAATGGGCGGGGCTCCTGGTGGCTTTTCAGAGAGGGGCCCGTGTCATGGGGAGTGTGTCCAGCGTCCCCTCCTGGGGATCCTCTGGTGGGCCCAAGAGTCATCCTCTGACCTGAGGCCAAAGGGGCCAGAGGTCTCCTTGGCATGGCCCACGGGGGGCCTAACCCCCAGCACCTCAGAATGGGATCGTATTTGGCGATGGAGTCTTTCCAGAGGTAACTAAAGTAAAATGAGGTCAGTAGGATGGTGTCCCTTGTGAGAAGAGGAGAGTGGGCACAGACACAGGAGAAGACAGCGTCTGCACACGGGGAGAGGCCTCAGGAGCCGCTGACCCTGCCAACACCTTGATATTGGACTTCCAGTTCCCAGAACTGGGAGAAAGTGAATTTCTGTTGTCGCAGCTGCTTGTCTGTGGTACTTTGATTTGGCTGCCCTAGGAGACCCCTACTACCCTCCAGGGGCCCAGTCTGTGGGCTGGGTGGGGTCGAACGTGCACTGTGGGGACCACCCCATCCCACAGCCCGGTCTCTTTGGCCGGGCGCCCGCGGATCCAGGCCGGATCCAGGCCGTGGAGGGTGGAGGTGCGCAGAGCCCCAGGGCAGGTGGGAGTGATTTCCAAGGGGAGAACAGTGCAGGCCAACAGCTCTGGTGGACTACGGTGCAGAGCTCCCGCAGCATCTGTGGCATGCGGTGCGCAGGGCATGTGTCCCGTGGGAGGTGTGCCCATCGCGAGGGCGCCGGGACCGCGGGCGCTGGCTGGGGCCGCTTCCCTCGCTGCGCTTGAGGCCCATTAAAAGGGCAGCAAAGACATTTTAAAAAGATGGCTTTGCCTTTTTCATAAAGACAGAAGCACTTACAGGCAAAGAGAAGGGAAGAAGTGCGAGGCCCCGTGGAGACGGAAGGCCACTGCCGAGGGTTGCCCTCTAGCCGCCTGGGGACCTGGGGTGTGGGGCAGGGGGTGGCCCCCAGCCTGGCCACAGCGCCCAGGGCAGCTCCAGATTGCAGGCAGGGTCTCAGGAGGTTTTCAGAGCGAGGGTTCAGACGCCAGCCCTCTGGGGACCTGGGCTATGGCCACCCAGTGCCCCCCTGCAGGTGAGGACGGGGGCGTCTCTTCCTGACAGACGGGCCGAGGCGCGACCTTCGGGGCCCAGGCCCCAGGTACCTACAGTGAGCCCCCGTTCCCAGGGCCCCCCCTGCCCAGCACCCACGCAGCTGCTCTGTGTCCCTCTCGGTCTCCAGACACTTGAGCAAAGCTTCTGAGAGGAGAGACACACCGGGTGAGCAGGAAGGGGGGCGAGTGTGCAGGAAAACAGACCGAGTCGTGAGGTCCTCTGGGGCGAAAGGAGAAACGACTCCTGATTAATACAGTTTCGGTAGCAGAAGTGAGTAAGTCAGTGATCGTTCTGCAAAATAAAGTTCAGGAAATCTCTGCTGAAGGCAGAGAAGGGGAAAGATCGGAAAATGAGAGGTTCTTCCAGGAAGGGCAGTATCTAAGAATACTTACAGCACGGGGTGCCGGGGGTGTTCAGGGAAGTGGCTGCCTTCGGCTCAGGTCAGGATCCTGGAGGCCTGGGATCGAGCCCCCCCGTCAGGTGCCCTGGTCAGGGGAGGGGGGATGTCTGCTTCCCCTCGCTCTCTGCTTGTCTCTGTTGCTCTTTCTCAAATAAATAAGTAAAATCCTAAAAAAAAAAACACCACACACAGCACAGTCCTTACAGCCCAGGGTAAACAGGGAGGCCAGGACATTATCAAGGAAAAATAAAAGACACGTCCCAGCACCGAGGAATGTAAGAGCCCCTGGCAGACCCCACGCCCTCCCGCCCTGAGACGCGGTGCTGTTAAGGGGAGGCCCTGCATGAGGAAAGGACAAGCATCCTGTGTGATGTTGGGAGTCAGGTGGCTTCAGACCTCTGGGCACCGACATGAGGGCCTAGAAGACAATGGGGACCATCAGCACCCCATATCTGGGGGCTGGCCTGCACCTGAGAGCTGCGGCCCAGTGAGGACACCTCCCGACAACCGGACACTTGGTAAATGTTCTTCCCGGGAAGATTCTGGAGAGCGCGCTCTTCTGGAAACAGGAGGAAAACAGAAAGGTGAGGACTTGGAAGTCAAGGAACGCAGGACGCACAGAGAAAGAAGAGAGAAGGGGAGTCCCATGCCACAGGGCTGGAGAGCTTCTGTCCAGACGGAGGCGGTGGACAGTGGCTTGAGACAGGGTGTCGCTGAAACTGAGTGCTAGGCTTCCCGGCCTGTTCCGACCTGCAGAGGGAGGGACCGTGGTGCTGTCCGAGTGCCATCAGCCGCGGCAGCGCAGAACAGCCGGCAGCACGAAGTGTGTAACTTGTTCTCTCTTCTTCCCCTCCCCCACCCGCTAGAGAGGACCGTCTCCGGTGATCTGTCCTCAGATTCACACTCATCTGCCGTCTCCAAACCAGTGACCTCTCCATTTCAGTTATTAAACTTTCTTTAAGAAATATTTTCTTTATTTATCTGACAGAGAGGGACACAGCGAGAGAAGGACCACAAGCAGGGCAAGTGGGAGAGGGAGAAGCAGGCTCTCTGCCTGGGATCATGACCTGAGCCAAAGGCAGACACTTAACAACCGAGCCCCCCAGGCACCCCTTCACACACACTTGTAATAGTTGTATTTATCTTTGATAAATCCCACAGCTGAGCCATTTGGAGTTGGTTTCTATTATTTGGGTGGTTGTTTTTTTTTTCTGCCTTGATTACAGGTCATAGTTTCCTGTATGTTGGTAGATCTTGCAATTTATTACGTGTTGCATATTGTAAGTGAAGCCTGTGGCAGCCCTGGATTCTGGGTTCTGTTATGTTCCTGTGAAGAATGTTGATTTTTGCTGTGGCAGGCAGTGAATTTCTAGCTGATCACCTTGAGCAAGTCGGCATGGCTTGACATTTCGTTAGCGGGGATCTTTGTCTTGGTGGGACTCGACCTACGATGTGCCCCAGTGTTGATTTCTTGGGGCTTGGTTTGGGATTTTGGCAGGGCGGGTCAGAGTGGAGCTCAGTCTAGGCCTTGTCCTAAGGCCTGGCCTTTCTGGAGTCTTGGCTGGTGTTGGCTGGGCTGGAGTGCTCATGTCTCTGTTACCTTCTCAGCCCTGAGGCCGCCGTTTCTGGGGGCCCTGTCCCACAGAGGCTCAGCTGCCTCCGTCACCTGGAGGGAGGCTGTGCTCTCTGGACCCGGGGTCAGTGGTCTGGGCCGGGAGCTTGCCCCTGGGTGGGAGCCTGTCACCCGGGGTGTTGGGCACTGTCCTGCTGTCAGGAGGTGTGTCGTGCCCAGCGGTTCCCAGTGAGGGGGCGGCCCAGCCCGAGCCCTGCACGGCTGGAGCAGAAGTCTGGAGCGAACGGAGCAGGAGAGGAGAAATCGCCACAGCACACACGGCTCAGCATTGGGAGGTATTTACACACGTCTGCTCGTGTCTTCTCTAAACAGTGAGCCAGAGGCGGGCTCTCACAGAACGGCTGTAGGTGGGCGGCCCTGGGGTGCGAGAGTGAACCCTTCCCTTCACGTTGGTCAGTCACACGCCAGACTGGAAGCTAAACCGTCAGCATACGGTTTAGAAATACGAATGTGGCGCCTGGGGGGCTCAGTGGGCCAAGCGTCTGCCTTCGGCTCAGTCATGATCCTGGGGGCCTGGGATCGAGCCCCACGTCCGGCTCCCTGCTCAGCGGGGAACCTGCTTCTCCCTCTGCCGCTCCCCCTGCTTGTGTTTCCTCTGGCTGTCTCTGCCTTTCGGTCAAATAAATATATAAACTCTTTAAAAAGAAAAAGAAACATGAAGGCACTGTCTGAAGGGACACCTAAGAGGGCTCCTGGAGTTTCGGGGGACGAAGCGGAGCTGCTGCGCTGAGCCTGTGCTCGGGTTGCACGGGGGGCCCTGCCCTTCTCACGACGGTGCCCAGGAAGACCGCGTCGGGGAACAAAGTCTTCCCAAGGCCTCGCGTAGCCCATTAAAGGAGGAAAACCAGCCGTCTCCATTAGTGTAGAGAAGTGGGCTGGGGAGGGTGAACACTTGCTGGGCCCCGGGCATAACCGCCTGACCTGACCAGAATATTTCGAGGCGGGAGCGCCCGTGTGGGTCATCGCGGCAAGCCCGCCTCTGCCGGCAGCTCTGAGCATCCCCGGCCGGCAGGGGGCCCGAGGCTGCCTGGGCCCCCGCGCCAGGACAGCGTGGGGACGAGAGTGTGAGTATCGCTCGTGGGACAGAGTATCGCTCTCCGCCAGGTCCTCCCTCCTTGAGCTGCCTGTCGCCTCCCTGGCCCCACCTTGAGGATGGACCTGCCAGACATAGATGGAGACCCCACCGGCGACCCTGTTGGGACCAAGGGCTGTTCTGCGGGTGAGTCCGTGTCCCCGATGGGCACCACTGGGCAGGGCCGGGTAGCGGGGACGTGTGAGGAATGCAGGCGTGTGTGCTGGCTGTGTGGACAGCGTGTGTACGTGGGGCTGTCTGTACATGGGCACCCCAGGTGGAAGGTGTCCCCGTGCTCCAGCCTCATGTGGGGCATGGACGCAAGCACACAGGTGACACAGCCTTCCTGGCCTGAGGGCTGCTGTAGGCACTGCTCTGTGCCCTGTGAAGGGGGCCACCGGCTCCCAAAGTGCACACTGTGTGGTCTTGTTGTCCCCAGGTGGGCTGCCTGCTGGCCACTGGCTTGCTAGCTGCCAGAGGACTGTGTGACTGGACCAGCACCACTGGGGAGGACAGAGCCCCCCATGGCGGTGTGGGGGTACTGGTGGGAGGGACGGGAGTTTCTCTGAGTCCTGGCACCACCCCACTCACCGAGTCTCTGGGCCGGACTCTGGCATTGTATTCATCTTGCCAAGAAGAAGCAAGGAGGGAAGCGGGGTGTGTCTGAGAAGCAGGGGCCTGGGTCAGCTACAGGCATGGGAGCCCAAAGCCGCCTGTGGCAGTCCTGCCCTATGCCCAGGCCGGAGTCCTGACCAGAGATGAGGGGCCTTTTTGGGCACAGAAGCCTCCCCGGTGAGGAAGGGAGGCATTTTCGCTTTGGTGGCCGTGGAGGTGGTCTCGTTTCTACCCTGAGAACTGGTCCCACATCCCAGCATGACTCTTTTGTCCTGGGGGGCCATGGTCTCCACACACGTGCCACAAGGGCCTCCTGGGTCATCACTTCGGGGTCAGCCCTGGGTGTTGAGCCAACCAGCAGCCAGAGACAGGCGTGGGGATCTAGGGTCTGAAGGGCCGGGACCTGGGGTGCAGCTGGGGCCCACGGGCTCATAGGTGCACAGGGCCTCTTCAGGCCCCTCCCTCCCTCAGGGCCTCCCCCCAGACCCATGCCCGTCCTCACGGGGCTGCATATAGGGTGGGGCTCCATGATGTCACACGTGGCCATCACTAAGTGGGCCTCAGCCTGAGGTGTGCAGGGTCTCACCCTTGGCCTGCTGGAGCTAGCAAAGGGGCAGGCCACCCTGAGAACAGACACAGCCCCCCCTTGGGTTAGACACAGCCTCCCCGGGTCAGACACAGCCCCTCCGGGTCAGCCCCCCACTCCATCAGACACGGCGGGTGCTGCGGGATCCCTGGGCCGGCGCTGTGTCCAGCCCTGCTGGTGAGGCCAGCCTTGGGAAGGTCCCTGCGGGAGGCCTTGGGCCAGGGTCACTCTCGGCAGGGGCACTTGTCTTTCCCCGTGTCTGGGGGAGCACCTCTAGGATGCTTCTGGCCCCTCTGCTGGTTTTGCCACGAGGACCTTCCTCTTCCGTGGTCCCTGGGAGGGTGACATCCCTTAGACCCTCTGGCCTCCATGTGGCTCCCCCGGCCTGTTCTGTGGCTGGTGTGGAGGAAGGATGAGAGGAAGGAACGGGCCAGTGAGGACAGAGGCCTTTTCCTCTCCACCTCCGCTCCCCAGGGGCCAATAAAATATCCTCCAACTGGAACATCAGCTCAAGGGCTGTTTCCCCGGAAAACATGGCCTTTGTGCGAGCAAATGGGGCTGAGCCACAGCTCAGCGTTTGGGGTTTGCAGACCATGCTGGGTTCTCTTTCCTTGCGAGTTTCTGGAGTTCCTTCTCTGAACACGTGGAGGGCAACAGCTGCAGGGAGCCTGGTTCCCTCCGACGGATCCCTAAGACATGCCCCCCCCGGGGCATGCCGTCAGCAGAGCTGGCCCCTCCTGGCATCAGGTGTTGGGGGGAGGGTCTCCCCCGGCCTCTGGGGCTGTGGAGCCATCCTCAGGCTATGACGGGAGAAAGCCCGTGAGCCCAGGTGGCACACACTTTCCTCGCTCTGTGATTGTGGGAAAGTGACTCAACCACTCTGTGCTTCCTGGTCTGAGAGAGATGGTCGTAAGCCAGCCCGCACCTCCCTGTGTGAATACGGAGTACAGACCTGCCTGTGGGGGGTCCGGGAGTTGTGATCGTTTTGGTCTGGGATCCAGATGGGATCGATTTTGCTGTGAGATATGAGGTATGGGCCCGACTCACTTGTATTTCTAGAAGCCCATTCAGGGAATAGCCGTCTCCCACCCCCCAACGACCACCTGCTGGGCTCCCCTGTCTTTTGGGTTCGTCTCCAGCTTTCCGCTCTGGTCTCTGTCTGCTCATGAGCCAACAGTTCTAGTGACCACGGTTTTACGGTGATTCTCCCGCGGGACCAACAGCCCTCATTGCTTTTGCTTTCCCTCTCCCTCCCTCCCTTCCTCCCTTCTTCCCGACATCAGAATGAGCTAGTTTGGTTCCACTGAATTTCGCTACTCTGGTGGTCGGCCCCAGGGTGCGGCAGCTCATCTGCAGTGTGGACCAACCGGGGCCTCTCCACTGCCCTCCCCCAGCGGTTCCTTCCCTGAACGCGGCTTGGCCTTGGTGGCTACTTCTGATGAGTCAAGGTGACCATTCCTGGAGCCCAGGTGCCCGCCGTGCTCTGCTCCTAACCTGCAGGATTGGGACCATAGAAATGACCCATGTGTGTTTTGGGTAAAAACAGGAACACACCTCAAGGACAGGGTTTGCCTTCCTGTTTGTTCTTTTGTTCTTAGCTGTGCTTTTTTTTTTTTTTTTTTTTTTAATTTTTTTTTTATTCATTTGACAGACAGAGATCACAAGCAGGCAGAGAGGCAGGAAGAGAGAGAGAGGAGGAAGCAGGCTCCCTGCCGAGCAGAGAGCCCGATGTGGGGCTCGATCCCAGGACCCTGAGATCATGACCTGAGCTGAAGGCAGAGGCTTAACCCACTGAGCCACCCAGGTGCCCTTTAGCTGTGCTTTTTACAGAATAGATCTCCCACGTTGTTCCTCACTTTTTTAAACCTAAGTGTTTCGTCTTCTTAAAGTCCTGTTGTTAGTAGGATCCTTTCTTCTAGCAGATTTTCTAACTTGTCCTTGAAATCGGGCGGTTTCCGTGTTTTCACGGCCACGTTCACCTGCGTGGGTGCCTGTTGCTGGAGGAGCTCCCCGGGTGTGTGGTGACGTCCCCAGAGGCGGGGGCTTGCCTCTGTGTGGACGCCCCGGCTTGGAAGCCCTTCCCACAGCCGGCCTGTTGCTTCAGGGCGCCTGGGCTGGGCGCTGGTGAGGCGGGGGAGGGGTCCTGTCTTGGGGGCTCCTGATTTGTTGGAGGAAGTAGGACGTCAAGGCCTTCTCATCCCACTTCCCAGATGGGGCGGCCCCCACAGGAGACCTTATCCTGCCTGTCGGGTGGGGGTGCTGCTGGGGGGCCTCTGCAGGGTTTGGACTTGGGGGCTTTGAGGAAGGCCCTTTCTCTTTGCCTGCCACCTGTCCTCACCGAGTCCTGCTCGGGAAGGGCTGAGCCCATCATCATGTCCCGAGGAGGGTAGACCCTGGAACCCAGGACCGAGAGGGGCAGAAATGTGATCTGGAGAGAGTGGCAGTCCCCACCTTTGCCAAGGAACCGCGTGCCTGTGTCCTGGGAGGCAGGACGTCGCCGACCCCACAAGTGGAGTGGACATTCAGGCACTGGGCGCTGCAGAGGGCTGGGCGGAAGACCGCATCTGGGTCTGCAGATGCAGATGCGACAGTGGCTGGACGCTGGCGCTCTGCAGCTGCCCGAGGGCCGGCAGGGTCAGGATGGCCATCCCGGGGGGTGGAGGTGGACACAGCAATGACCTGCAGAGACGGTGGGTCTGGATGGGCAGCCGGGCTCGGGGTGTCCGGCACTGCCCCTGGCTTGTGCCGAGTGGGACTCCAGCCTGGCCGCGGGAGCCTCTGCAGGTCCTGGCCCGGGTCCCTGGAGGAGGGCGGGGGGCCTAGGCAAGGGGGCCACACAGAGGCCGCGTGGGGGGGCGGTGTGCCCGGCACAGTTCAGCCCCGCCCACCATGGCCCCTGCTCCCCTGAGAGGAAGGCCCACTTTGTTCGTGTTCCCTCTAACCCCGGATTCCGGACAGGAAAGGGCAGGTGGTCGCTATGCTCGCCTGGCTGCTGGGTTATTTTCTAGAACGCATCTGTTTCGTGGAGTGAGGGCCACTGAGTCAGCGCAGCTCTCTCCCTCCTGTCAGCTCCTCAGGAGCCCCCCTGGGCAGCTGGCAGCTCTCGGTGTCTGGTGGGCACTGGGGAAGCAGGAGGATGGGGGCGGGGACAGGGCAGGGGGGGGTCACGCCTGTGCCTCCTGGTGCCTGGCCCCCGCACAGCAGGAGCCTGAGGCCCCCAGACCCATGTGCTGGAAGGCTGCTGGCGGGGACAGCCTGTGAGGTCCACATCTGGACAGAGAGGAGCAGCCCAGGCTGTGGGTGCAGAGGTTTGACCCCTGAAACCGAGCTGCTTTTTGGTGTCCCCCTTGCACAGAGCCTCCTGCCCCGTCCCCACCCTCATGGTCCCGGGATGGGGTCAGGGACCAGGCACAGACCAGAGGCCATCTGACTCCAGCCCCCGACCTGCTGTCTGACCCTGTCAGCAGGGGCAAGATGTCAGGGTGGGCGTTAGCTGGGAACTTGGGCTCGGCCGGGCTCCAGGCCTTGGTGGGGAGGCGAGGGCCCTGCCAGGCTTTGGGCATGGCTGATGTCCGTCCTATGGACAGAGGCCCCTTGGCACCAGGCTCCCACATGCCCTCCTCAGCCCGGCCTCCTGCCAGCATCCCTAAGTCAGAGCTGCCAGGACCCAGGCCCTCCAGGTCCCTGCAAGGTGACACTTAGCTTGCTTATCTATCCCTTCCGACAGACACCTCCCGACGCCCTCCTTTTTGTGTCTTTGGCTGGGGGTCTGCCTGGGAGCCCTGCTCAGCCTAGGGGTCCTCCCTGCCCCACCACACGCGCCCCACGCGCATCTCTCTGGCCGCCAGGCCATGTCCTTGCCATGTCCCACCCCACACAGACCTGCCTCAGGTCCCTTCCAGCTGCCCCTTGGGCTTCCAGGGGTCTTTCCAAGGCCACTGGAGCTGGTAACCCAGTGTGGGCATGCACAGCTGCCTCAGGCACCGTCCCCAGCTCACCGTGGAGCACCCGTCAAGGCCCAGACCACAGCTTTGAACAAGGCCAGTGTGGTCACTGCCCAGGAGGGACAAACAGCAGGTCCTCAGCTGGTGGCAGTGCCCTGCTGCAGGGGCCGGGCAGGGGGCGCACCCAGGGCAGAGCCGTCGGGTGGGTCCGTGGTCTCGGCTGCTGGCCCCTTAGACAGCGGGACGACTCAGGGTGAGGCCCAGCAGGACATGTCCTGCAGTTTCCCACAGGATCCTTTCAATTAGTGGGAATCTTGTCCGAAGTTGTATTTTTGGGAGACCTCTGCCCCGAGGTCATCAGGATGTTCTCCCAGAGGCTCTCTTTGTCTTTCACGGTCAGCGAATGCAGGCATGAGGCCAGCGATGCTCGGTGCCCTCAGTGGGGGCATGGAGCTCCTGCACTCCACAGCTGCCCGGGTCACGTATCAGGGTCCCTTGAGTGCCCACTCTGGCCCTGGGTCTTTGCGCTGGCCCGTGGCTGCCCCCTGCAGGCTGCTCAGCCTTAGCGAGGGGGTTCTTGGCGCTGGGTGGGGTAGTCTTGGCGGACCTAGGACGGGGCACACGTAGGCACACCCACCCAGCCCGCTGCTGGGGTAGGACAGCACGGCGTCTTCTGACCAGCTGTGGGGCGGGCGACAGCTTCTCTTCTTTAGTGTATGGAATGGCCCTTCCTTCATTAGGTCTTTTAATTTTTTTCTCAGTGTTTCATGGGGTTGGTTTTTTGGTTTTTTGTGTGTGTGTAAATTTCTTTTGTTAGGTTTATCCAAAGAAATTTGAATTTTTTTGCGCTGTTGTAATTGTTTGTAATGTTTATTTCTGTTTGTTACTTGTATACCGGGGAACAGTGGGGTTTTAGCATTGGCCTTGTGTTCAGTGTCCAAGCTACAACCAAGTAACCCTAACCCTCCCCTTATTTACTCTTCACGGACGCACTTGCAGCGGGGGCGCGGCGGAGGGAGAGACAGAAACCCAAGCAGGCGCGGGGCTGAGCGCAGAGCTCGACTCAGCGTTCGGCCTCACGACCCTGAGATCATGACCTGAGCTGAAGTCAAGAGTTGAACACTCAACAGACTGAGCCTCCCAAGCGCCCCCAATACCTTCTCTTCAGATTCTGCATGTCTTTCCACAAAATTATGTTTCCAGTGAGAAGTAATGTTTTACTTTCTTAAAAGATTTTATTTATTTGTCAGAGAGGGAGTACAAGCAGAGGGAGTGGGAGAGGGAGAAGCAGACTCCCTACTGAGCAGGGAGTCCGATGCGGGGCTTGATCCCAGGACCCTGGGACCACGACCTGAGCTGAAGGCAGAGGCTTAACGACTGAGCCCCCCAGGCACCCCTTTGTTTTCATTTTTAAAGACTTACCCTTTCGAGAGCAGTGTCAGGCTGACAGGAGACTCCAGAAGGCACAGCAATTGCCCATGTCCCCACCACGCACAGCCTCCCCCACCAGACACACCCACTCCCGTGTGCGCGCCACATGGCCCCCTGCAGACGCGCCGCCACCCGAAGCCCACTGTGGCCGGCGGGGCTGTCCTGCGGGCAGAGTGCCCTGTGTGGGCGCAGGCAGGGCGCGGGGACACGCATCTGCGGGGCGGCCTCGCACACTCGGGTGCCGCTCCGGCCTCTCCCGGGACAGCCTGGAGCCGGGGTCCTGCCGCGTGCGGCCCGTCCGGACGGCCCCGTCCTCTCGGGAGTGCAGGTGCCTCCGGGCCCTCTCCCGGCCTGGCCGCTCGTTCCTTTTGAGCCTGGAGCGGACTCCGCTTGTGGACCGACCAGTTTGTTGGAGTGGAGCGGGGTGCGGGCTCCGAGCTGCCAGGGCCCCCGGGCCGTGCTCTGCGGGCAGCAGGCGGCCTCGGGCTGGCCCCGTCTCCCGGAGAAGGCTCCCAGCTGCCCGCATCAGGGTCTGTGTCTGCGGGGGTGTTTCTTACAAACATCCCCCATCTGGGCAATGGAGTCGTCTCTATTCCGAGTTTGCTGGGTCGTTTCCTAAGTCAGGAACAGAAATTCCTTTTACGAAATGCTCTGAGGCTGCCGACAGCACCCAATTCTTGCCGTGCTCCTTCCGTGAAGCACGCCGGCCCCCGCCCAGCAGCCCTGCTTCTGGAATGCACCCAGCGTGTCACTCCGTCTCCCACGCCATGCGTCAGTCTCTGCTGCTGTCTTGTCTGGGTGTCCGAGTCTGTGTCCTCAGGTGGGCGGCTGGCCCTCCAGGGTTTGGTCCGGGTGTCCCCGCCTTTCCCTCACGAGCAGCCCAGCCGCTTGCTGTTGTCCCCACAATTCTTGGGTGGATTTGCAGGTGAAGTGCCCCAAGCTCCTGAGCCCCGGTAGGACCTGGGGCATCTGTTGGTGACCTCCCCTCCCCCAGTGTGTGGGCTCAGGTCCTGACTCTGACCGCCACCCCATGAGGGGCACGGCTGGGTCCTGAATCAGAGCACGGCTTCTCCCAGCTCCCTGGGCTGGGGCTGGACTCGGGCTGCTCCGGCAGCCCTGCTGGGCCCTGGGCCCTGTAACGTCGTCATGGGGCCAGGGACTCTTAGGTCAGACAGTGACCAGCCCTTCACTCAGGACTCGCCCAGCGAAGAGGGTTTTCTGCAGGCCCGAGGCAGTGGTGAACCCGGAATGGTGGCCCTGCCCTGAGACCCCAGGGCAGGTGCCCACAGGGGTGGGGTGGGCCCTCCCGAGGCAGCCAGGGGGCGCTGGTGGCTGTGGGTGACTCAGAGGCCACTTCCTTTCCCAAAGCGGAGAGCAGGCCGCAGGCACTCTCCCAGGCCAGCTCCCCCCAGCCCTGGCATTGACCTGAGACTGGGTCTGAGGGCACAGCTCCTTTTCCAGCATGAGGGTGAACCCAGCTTTCCCTGGTGCTGGTGTCCCAGTGGGGTCCCCGTCCAGCTGTCCTGCACTGTGCTGGGGACTCGAGCAAGCAAGAGAGGGCCAGGGCTGTGGGTGGTCAGCCTGTGTGGGACGCCCCAGGGGCCGGGGGAGCAGGGCTGGGGAGGCAGAGCACAGGACCACTCTAGGGCCTTGCCAGGGGCTGCAGGCCAGACTTGGTGGGCCGTGCATGTGGGTGGGCTGTGGCGTGACACGGAGGGCGGCACCCTGACGGTCAGTGCTGCAGGTTTGGCCCTTCTGTCTGCTGCCCCTTTCCTGCTCACACGGCGTGGCCAGTCCAACCTCCAGCTCACCACCGCTGAAACATGAGGCCTGGGCATCCCCCAAGCTGTGGGCAGAAGCCCATCCCAGTGAGCACGGCAGGTGGCCAGGCCACAGGTCCCAGGGAGGGGGCAAAGGGAGCTCTGGCCAGAGAGGGCCAAGAGTCAACAGACACCGGGTGGCATCAGTGGGGAGCCCCCGGCCTTGGTCAGGGTGGAGTTGGTGGGCTCTGCATAGCCCTATCTTCTCCCCCCAGGCCCGGACCCGCCTCTGTTCCTGCAGGCCCTGCAGACACTGTGGTCCACGCGGAAGCTGCCGCAGGTGAGACAGCACAGGGGCTAGGCCCCTCGTCCGGCCTCAGGGGCCACCCCGTCTGCAAGTTCCGGCAGACACGTGGGGGCCGGAGCCCTGGGCTGACACCCACTGGACACCAGCACACAGGCCCCTGAGGCTGAGAGCACGAGGCAAGGGCCTGCGGCCACCACCTGGCTTCTGCATAGCATGGACCCAGGGGGCTGTGACCACCTGTGCACCCCGTGAGGCCAGGGTACTCACTGTTCAGACTAGCCTTGGCTTGTGGCCTCCTGTCCTGGGGACAACCTATCTGGCCACTGAGGGATGCACGTGGCCCTGGAAGGGAGGCTGTAGTGGTCTCTCATGGCAGTCGGTGGCCCTGCCATGGCCTTGGCCTGGAGGGTGACTTTGCCTGACCCGTGGGCACCCCTGCCCTGCACTTTGCTCCCAGAGGCAGCAGAAGGATGAGGTTCTCCCTGGCTCCCAGGGAGAACAGACAAGTCAGGATAAGGCCCATGTCTCATGTCTTGCCTCCTGCTGCTATCGGAGGGTGGGCAGGATGCCCAGACCCGGCCAAGCTCCCTGGGGCGGGCGTCTCGTGCAGGTGCCTTCCAGGAGGGGCCACGAGCTTGTGGACGAGAGGCATCTGTGCGCTGTGAAGGCCTAGGGTGCTCCCACCAGGTCCAGGGCTGGCTTTGTAGCACGGGGGACCAGCATCTGGCTTGACAGGTCACCAATGGTGTGTGAAGGGGGACAGGCCTGGGCTCCACGGCAGCCATCAGCCCCCTCTCGACTGCACGCATGGAGGCTCGGAGTGGTTCTCCCCCTCAGCTGGAGAAAGCCAAGGTTTTTGCAAAGCCAAAAGCTCTTTTTAATGTTTGCCTCCCGTGGCTTTGCGCTAATACGGAGGCACCGCGACTGTGTTGTTTGGTGAACTGGCTTCACGGATTCTGTACGTCCACGGTGTGTCCCCTGTCCCGGTGCACACGCGGTGTTGGCGAGGTTTGTCTCTGCCCCTGGGTCAAGGTGAGCTGACCTCACAGACTGGGTTGAAAGCCTTCCTTCTGTTCCCGTTCCCTGGAGCCACTGGTTCCACAGGAATTCCTGGGTCCTGGAGGATCTGGAAGAACGCAGACCGTCCTGCCTTGCCGGGCTTGAGCCAACGTCGGGGATGACCGTTTTGGGGGCTTTCAGCTTCTGGTTTCTTGCCCTAGGAAGCGGCCATCTCTCCCCTGTCCTCGTGTCTGCCAGCTTGAGGATCCCCATCTGAGACTCTCAGATGTGGGAGTCGAGGGCCTTGGGCGTTCCAGCCCCCTCTGGCCGGCGCCACTGTCTCTTCCTTCCCAGGTGCTCCACTGACAAGTGTGCCTGTCCTGCTACAGTCCCGAGTCACAGGTCTCTGCAGGTAGGGCTCCGTGGCCCGTCTTTATGACCCTTGGGAAGTCATCCCCTTAGACCGGCGTGTTACTTATTTCTAGTCACACGCTCGGCTGTCTGAGATCTTCCACAACTGGTTTCTGTCCGTGAAGGAGCACATCTGTGTATTCTCACTTTCGGTGCCACAGAGGCCTGCGGGGGGCAGGTCCCCGTGTGCCGAGTGAGTGTGCAGGGCGGGGTGCTCTCCAGCCAGGAGCCAAGTTTCTGCCCGAGGGGCGCATGCTATCTCCCCTGGGTCCGCTTGCCAGAATGGGGCCAGGTGGGTGGGCTGCTCAGTGTCTGAGCTCTGACCCAGTGATGCCCCAGGGGCCGGCGGCAGTGGGCAGAGGGTCCCCGTAGGAACCACGAGGCAGTAGGGAAGCCACGAGGGGAGCCATGCCCTGACGGCCAGCCATGCACAGGGAAGTTTCAGGGTCCCCCACAGAACAGGACAGGGAAACTGGAGGCTGGATTTGGAGAGCCCTTTGGGGCTTTGTGAGATCAAGAGGAAGGAAATGGGATGGTGGGGGATGAGCTGGGGGGCTGTGGTCCCTCCTTTAAACACAGAGGGAGCCGAAGCAGAAGCAGCAGGTCGGGGGACCGGTAGGGGTAGGGAGGACAGAGGCTGCAGGTGGGGGAGGTGAGCTGGTGTGCAGTGGGGCCTGGGAGGACAGGCAGTGGTTCGGGGACACCTCAGAGCCCCTGGGGTGGGGGTAGTCGGAGAGATGAAAGACACAGGAGAGGTGAGCAAGTGGGCAGGATGGGGGCAGGATGCGCCTCCCCAAGGTGGCGCAGCCCTGGCAGCTTGTGTGAAACCCCGGCCCCGTGGAGGCCGGAGATGCTGGAGCAGGGCCACGGGGACACCGGCTCCTGCCAAGTCCCAGAACCACCAGGGTCCCCTGAAGCCCAGGATGGGGCGGCTGACTCCCCCTCTGGAGCACGAGCTGGGCGGTGACAAGGCGCAGACCCTGCTGGGTGGCAGAGGGGAGCTAGGAGAGCAGTCAGAGGGCAGGCGGGAGGGAGGGAGCAGCCGTCAGAGCTCCGGAGCCAGGGTCCACACAGCCGTCCGCCAGGCCACGGGGCAGAGCAGCCCCGGAGATGGGGCCACGGTGCCCAGACTGAAATCTTCCCGGACGAGGGGCAGCAAGTGGCCAGTGCGTGCCAGAGCACGGGGTCCACCCTGGCAGCTGCAGGGGCCGGAGGGGCTCTCGGACCGCGGTTGGGGGCGGCAGCACCCTCGGGGCCCCGTGTTCATCACTCACGGTGACTCGTTCCTGTGTGCTCTGTGGCCTCTCATTGAGCTCCCCTTGAGCTCAGTGAGCTCCCTGAGCTCTGCCGCTGTCTCCCGCGGGGCCCGTGCTGTCGCCAGGAACACATGCAAATGCAGGACAGCTGTGATGTCCCAGCCCCAGGAGGCCCCCCGTTCCCCATGTGCCCCCCTGTTCCCCATGGCCTTCCCGTTCCCCACAGCACCCCGTGGGCCTCCTTGCTCGCGGCCTCCTCTCCTTTCCTGGGTGTTTGACAAGGGAGACTGGCCGGGTCTCCTGAGCTCACCCACATGCTTGAGGGGAAAGCCGGCATCTCACTTCTGGGGAGCAGAGGCCAAATCTCTCGGCACAATGGTTTGGACTGAGGGGATCGTACTCTGAGGGTCCTGAGGAAGCATTGGCCACACGGGGTGCCAGGGCTAAGGCCCATGTTCCAGCTGTGCACCCTGTTTCCTGTCCACTGCTCTGTGGGTGGGGGCCCTTGGCCTAGGGGTGCCAGGCTCTGTCCGAGCACAGCAGGGGCCTCTGTGCGGGAGGAGGTGCACACAGACAGGACGCAGGTGCCTCTCCGAGTTCCAGACCCAAGTGGTGCTGTCCAAGGAGAATGTTCTGGCCCGGCCTGGCCCCAGGCTGCTCCCAGGGCAGAGACGCAGGAAGGGCCCTGGGGCCAACAGCAGAGGGGTCTGTCCCTCCCTATGAATTCTCCTCCACTGTCCCTTGGTAACTGGCAGTGGGGAGGTGGTGCCTGTGCCCTGGGCTCAGTCCGCAGAACCCTGGGGAGGTCCCTGGGGCCTGCTGGGAGGCCTCCGCTCTCCATGGAAGCTGCCAGGGGGCAGCAAGGAGCTGCTCCTGGTGGCTTGGCTCTCAGCAAGGCCCGCAGACCCCCACGGGGTGTTGACTCCTTCAGGGCTGCACTTGCCTTGGCCCTGGGCCAGGTGAGTGTCTCTTGCACACGGCGGTCCTGGGGATGGGGCAGGGCCATTCCTGCTTCAGGTGTTGGAGCAGGGATGGCCACGCCCCAGCCCCCTTGACTCTGGGCGCCTCAAGCCATAGGCTGAGACGCTCCCAGCAGCAGGAGGAGGGGAGGTGCAGCTGTGTCAGGTAGGTCAGGGTGAGCCCCCGCGCTTTGTGCTCACAAAGGGAGACAATCCAGTGTCCCGGGGACCCCGAAGCTGACAGCCATCCAGCTGCACTCCTGAGCCTTCTGGGAGGGGACGGAGCCGCCACGGCCGCTGCAGCACAATATGCAGTAACCACCTCAGAAGGACGTGTCCCTTCGCTCCCCTTCTGCCGGCCACCAGGAAGGTTCCCACCGTGAAGGGCAGCTGGACGACCCCAGCGGAAGGAGCTGACCCCACAGTTGGCCGTGGCGTGGGTCTGGGGCTTCAAGGGGCCGTCTTGCTGGGAAGGGGTCTGTGTGGCCTCTTGGGCAAGGAGAAGGGCTGGCTGGCTGGTAGGTAGGAGCCACAGGTCCCAAGCACACGGCCTCCCCGCTCTGCTCTGAGCCTCTCCGAGCTGCTCTTCAGAGGCCCTGCGTGGGAGCCGTGCACACGTCAGGACCAAAGACTGGAGCCGCATCTCTCTAGACCTTTCCCTCCATGAGCAAGAAGGCAGTGTTGCTCAACCTCAGGTGTCTTCTTTCATATGTTCCTGGCAGGCGTGGGGCCTGGTGGAGATGGGGACAGTGGGCCTGTGGGCCCTGACACCCCCGTGTGGGCTCTGCCCGCCTGTCCCAGGTCATGGCAGCATCACGCGTCAGAGGCTGTCCTCAGGTCTGCCCGTCTCAGGTCTGCAGGGGCAGCTGGGGCCTCAGCTCCTCGCTCCCCGCAGAGTGGCCCCGGGCGTCAGGGTGTCTGTTTCCAAGCTTGCACCCCACACCCTGCAGCTCTGCCCTCGGGGTGGCCGAGCGAAGAGTCCGGGGCTGCTAGCGGACCCGTCGCTGCAGGGTGTTCCAGGGGACAGCGGAGTCAGGCAGAGCCAGCCGCGTGCTGGGGGCCGAGGTGGCACTCGGGCGACACCCTGCTCCCCCGAGGGAGAGGTCTTTCTTCCTTCGGCTCCCACGTGTTTCCAGACCTTCCGCAGTGCAAGAGGTGGGAAAGTCAATCAAAGGTGTTTTTCAGTTTGCGTTTTTTCCTCCTTTTTTTGGTTTCTCATTGCTTGCTGGGCCCCGCAACCAGGTCACTGTGTCTGAAGCACCGGCATGCGTCCCCCGGGCAGTACACAGGTCATGGGGCGAGGCCCAGTGGCTGCAGCCTCTCAGAGGGGCCCCTCTTTACGGGGCCATGACGGTGGATGGACCCAGGCCACGGTGGGTCAGACCAGACCAGAGCACTGGGGACGGGAGACGAGGAGGGGGAATGGCGTCGACGGCCCGTCCCTCTCTCGGCCAACGGCGCTCGGACAGTATAGGCGGGGAGGCTCTGCAGGGAGGTCTGGGGCAGGACCTCCTGGGGCCGCAGTGAGGTTCCATGTCTCCGCAGCTCCGGGAGGAGGCCCGGCGGGGCTTCGCGGCCCTGGCCGACCCGCGGACGGTGCTCCTGGACGTGCTGGAGAGCAGCAGGGGCTGGCGGCGGAAGGGCCCCTCCCTGGAGGCCTGGCTCACCTGGGAGCTGGCACACTGGCTGCCCACACAGCCGCTCCCAGGGCTGGCCCAGGTGAGCCCTGCGCATGGCCCCACCGGCTACGTCCCTCTCAGCACCGTGGGCTCCCGGCCAGCCTGACCCTGCCTGTGTAGCCCGCTGAGCTCCAGCACCCCGGGTGGGCAGGGCCTGGCACCTTGGGATTGACTGGGCTCCTGCGTCCGTGGGCTTGACCCTCGGCCCCCCCCAACCACACCTCGCCCCCGCCTGTGCCTCTAGGCCTGGCCTGCCTGGACCGTCCACTGTGGACGCAGGGTTGCAGGTGCTGGACTCCTCAACCCCGTGACCCTGGCTGCAGTGCCCTTCCGGCCCCCCAGCTGAGGGCAGCTCTCTGGTCTCCCGGGGCAGCTCAGGGCTGAAGCAGCTGCTGGCCCGTGCAGTCAGGGTCCTCGCTGAGAGCCCCTCTGGTCTCGTGGAGCCGCTGGTCAGCATCTTCCAGCTGCAGGACGCAGACCGGGGTCCCCTGCTGACTCACGTCCACTGGCTCCACCAGGAAGGCAAGTTCAAAGAAGTGAGTGTGAGCCCCGCGTGGACCGGGGACCGGGAACTGGGCCGGCATGTGGGCTCAGGCAAGGGCTAGGCTGAGTGGGCTCACAGGGCCCCCCTGGCGGTTTCCTCTGGGCCCTCCACTGTTGGGGGCTGCCCAGGGCTGAGGGGCGTCGGGTCTGGTGCAGAGGGTTTCAGCTCAGGGCTGTGCCAGACGTTGGGGCCCTAGGAGACACTCACATGCACTGAGCTGGAGGATTCCGGGAGCGGCCCCCGCACCTGCCTGGCTCTCTGCCCCAGCACCTGGGGTCCTTCCTCTTGAGGTGCCACCGGGTCCTCAAATGGGGTCTGCGGCCCACAGACACCCTGGCTCTGGCCTGGAAGCCCCGTGGGCCAGCCACTCACCCAGCCTCATTTGTCACTTCCCAGGAACACCTGTGGGGTCTAAGAGGGTCAAGGGTGTGGGGTCCCTCTGCACACAGTCCCCACCCCTTTCGCCACCCCTGCCAGCCCAGGCCCTCCCAGGCCAGGGAGCACCCACGTGACCGGACGGGGTTGGAGGCCCCCTCGCACCCACTAGCAAAGTCACTCAGCCTCTGTGTTGTCGTGGCCTGGGGGCGAGCAGCCCGGTTCCCTCTGGGCCCAGCTACTTCCAGCTGCTGCTGGCTGAAGACAGAACCGTACCTTTGTGTCCTTGTGGGGGGCCCACAACTGCACCAGGCCTGGGGACTGGCTGCTTTGCTGCTGTTCTCACGGCAGGGTCTGGCCACAGGAACAACCCCTCAATGGCCCTGCCCGCTGGGCCTGCCACCTCCCTGGACCCTTCAAGAGGCCCTCCCCCAACCTGGGATGGCCCAACTCCTGCTGTGTGGAGGCTCACTTGGATCAGATCCGACCAGTGGGGGCGCCCCTGTGAGGGTCGGACACTTAGAGGGTCCTGTCGGCTCCTTGCTGGACGAGGCTGGCCGGAGCCCCATCCTCACTGTGGCAGGGATCCCCGGGACCGGCCCGGCCTGGTGCCCGTGTGTGTCTGCGGAAGTTCGGTGTGGGGCACGGGTTACGGGTCATGACAGCAGAGTCCTGCAGAACATGCGGTGCTCCTGGACGTGGGCTGTGCCGGGTCGGGTCATTCGGCTCCTCTGTCCTGGGAAGGCCTAGCAAGGGCGGATGTGGGGACGTGGGTTCAGGAGCCTCATGGCGCCGGTGGGGCTCTGGAAGTCTTGGAGGCGGGCCAGGAGCGCCGGGAGTGGCTCGGGTCTGCATGAGGCCGGGGAGCAGGGCTCTGCGGTGTGGAGGGAGGGGCGGCTATGAGCAGTTGCTGCAGGCCCAGGGGTCCCCATGGCATCTCTGTTCCCTGAGATGTGAAGGCCATCCCCTGGGGAGGTAGGTGGCGGAAGGTTGGTCCTGGGGCGCCCGCTCAGGGGCATGCTCTCCCCGAGTCCCACGTCTGGTGCTCCGGGGTATCCAGAGGCTCGCTCCCGACTCACCTCTACCCACTGCCCCATCGGACCCAAAGTCGAGCCTGATTCGGGGACAGCGCTGCTCATGGACACTGCTCCCCGTACCCGTGGTGGCTCGGGCTTCAGTGGGCCCTGAGGCAGGATCCAGGGCCCACCCCACAGGGATCTTCTTCCCTGAGGGGCAGTCCCTGCCAGGAGGCTCATGGCGAGGTCGGCCTCACCTGGACCGCCAGTGCTCGGTCCTTGGAGGCTGGGCCGTGTGTTGGCGGCTGTCGTGCCCCGGCCCAGGCTCTTGTCTCGAGGCTGGTGAAGGGCGCTGAGAAACCAAGATGACCACGCCAGGGACAGTGTGGCCGGGGCTCCGCTCCTGGGGCGCAGGGCCATTCTCCGCAGGCTGAAGGGGCGGCCGGGCTTGCAAGAATGCGGGAGGCGAAGGCAGGCTAGTGTTTCAGCGTCTTCTGTTACACCCGGGCCTTTCAAAGAGTGTCCAGGGCCGGCTGAATGCACCTCCCTCGCGCTCCAAGGCAGGAATCCCAACACAAAGGGGGCTCTTGTCCCGCACAGGCCCCTTCTGCGAAGAAAAGCCATTGTCCCCAAGCGGGGCGGCCCGGCAGGCGATGCACGCTCCAGTGCCCACCGCCGCGCCCGGCGAAAGGGGCCGCATTCAGGCCTGTCCGCTCGGATTAGCAGGGACTCACGACTTAATGTGCACCGATATTTCATGTCCAGGGCGGCGGCCGGCTCCGGGCAGGATGAATGCCCGCTTTTGTCTCCTGAGTTATTTTATTTACATTTTTTAAACAGCTTATCAAGGTAAAAAGATAGCTTTGCTTTGGGGGGTGGGGGGGAGGCCCCTTGGCTCCAGGCCGAGCTGAGCTGTGGAGGCGGCAGGCAGGCCCGTCCTGGGTCTGAGGCTGCAGAGTCTGGGCTTGGCCGCCTGGGCACCTGCCTGGCGCTCCTGTCCAGCGGAGTGGGCAGCCAGGGGGCCCGTGAGCGCTCTGTCTGCCTTGGCCACCAGGCCCCTCTGGGTTTCCTTATTTTTCCCCAAGGCAGCAGCTCTGGCACTGTCCGGCCAGAGGGGTCCACAGCCTCTCTCTGACCCAGCTGCTGAGCAGCCCCGTGTCCCTCTTCTCAGTGGCCTCCATGCCAAGTCCAGGAAGGCTCGGGAGGTGCCAGTTCCTCACAGTTTCCTTCTGTGGGGCCTGAGCCCCTCCCACCCTCCCTGCCTGTCCCACGGGCCTGAGTCGGCAGGTGACCTTCCCATGCCCGCTGGGGCCCTCGTGTGTCCAGGCAGTAGGCAGCGGACAGCTTGGTCTGCTGTCCCCATAGCAGAATCTCAGGCAGAAAAATGACCAGAGATGGATCCTAAGCTGGGCCTGATGACAGCGGCTGATCTACATGGACCCCTCCAAAGACAGAAGCCAGCCCAAGGGTTCTGCTGTCAGCCGTCCCCCCAGGGCACCCACCCCGGCTGCCCCCTTCCTTGTCCTGTGCCACCCTGCCCGCCCCACCCAAGGGCTGCAGGTGCGGAATGGGGGCGTGTCCCAAACTGTCCCCAGGGTGTGGGTGGTCACCCGGCTCTGGGCACGCTGGTTGTGCCCTGCAGCACCCACGCGGGCTGAGAGAGGTCACCCTGAGTGCTGGCCGGATGGAAAGCCGGTGGCTGTGGAGGAAGGAGGGAGAAGAGAAGGGCCGTGTGAGCCCACTGACCCCCATTGGGACAGAAGCACTGTGTGGCCAGGTGGGGTGTGTGCCCATGAGACCTGAGCCGCCCACCTGGGGTGCATAGGGCTAGGCTCCAAGCACAGCCTGAGAACCTCCACCCGAGCCCCCTGCCCTGAAGCCAGTGGGCACCACGGACAGGGACCCTGAGGGCTGGGATTGGCAGAGGGTTGCCCTGCCCTTCACTGGCTCCTGGAGAGAGAGGCCGTCCCCGTGGACAGAGGGAGGCTGGGGACTGGGCAGCAGGCTGCCATCTATGGCAAAGCTCCCAGTGCTTCGGTGGAGGGCGGTGCCCAACCTCCCTTGGCCCCGCCCTGCCCCCCTTCACCCAGGCCGCCAGTCCCTTACACCCCAAGCCTGATTCACCCAGGCCCCGCCCCAGGATTCAGAGAGGTTGTTGGATGGGTAGGAGGCAAGGGTCCCCCCATGCCCTGCTGAGGGCTGGGGCCTAGAGCACAGAGGAAGTCTTGTCCTTGGGGGAGCAGAGGTAGAGGATGGCAGAGGCCTACACCACAGCAGAGGCAGTGAGGGGCGGGGCGGGTGAGGCCAGGCCCCCGGGGTCCTCTCTGCTACTCCCTCTGGCCCCTTGCCTTGTGGCTCCTCCTGCTTCATCTCTCCCAGGGTCACTGGCGCCCCCCAGCTTGTTCTGGAGGGTGGGAGGGTCCCGAGCCCCCAGGTACCCCTCCCACAGCCCCTTCCCTGACAGTGGCCTGGCCCGTCCAAGCCCAGCTCAGGTGTTGACCCCAGAGGAGCCCAGGAGCTAGCCGGACTCGGGCAGCAGGGTTGTGACCACCCCAGTTTCTGGCCATGCGGGGCCATGCAGAGGTGGGGGGGCTCCTGGATGAAGGCTCGGTGATCCCTTCGCTTCTCAGGGGGTCTCCCATCCAGTAGCCATGTGGTTCCCCCTCCTCCAGCCCTGGCCCCACCCCCTCTGCATCCTCCCCCGGCCCCCCCCCCCCTCCGGCGCCCCCCCCCCCACCCCTGGGCCCCCAGGGGCCTGGAGGCCTCGAGCCCTGGACCGCAGCCAGGCTGTGGAGGCGCTGGGTCAGCTCCACGCAGGGAAAGGCCCCTGGCCCTGTGCCCCCACCCTGCACGGTCTGGGGCCGGAGGCCGGAGGCCGGAGCGAGCCTTTCCCAGGCCGCTATTTTGGTCCTTTGTGTGAGCTGTGTGGGGCGGGGCGCCCGGCCCTCTGCTGGTTATTTTTGCTCATAATGGGAGCGCGATGTATGGAAATTATTAATAGTAGCCCGGCCTTCGCTACGTGCGGGCACTCAGGGCCCCGGCGCTCTCTGTGCCGAGTGTGAGCGAGGGCCCGTGGCTGTGAGCGAGGCCCCGCGGCTCAGGGCTCTCAGCACCCACATCCCGTTCCTGGGGCCGCTGTGCTCCCTGCCTCACCAGGACGCAGCTAGGGCCAGAGCCTCTTCCCCTGTGCACCTGAGGGGCAGCTCTGTGCGTCCCCCCAACACACACGGACCACACCATGTCCTACTCCAACCTCTCCCCTGTGGGCCAGCCCGCTTGGACAGACAGCTGTGCAGTCATTCGTGGTTTGGGGTTACACGCAGAGCAGGCCTTGCGGAAAGTGCTCGGAGGGCCCTGTACCTCAGGCCCTCAGGGGGACAGCTCTGGCTCCGGGCTGGGGCACCGTGACTGTCCGTGCCAGGCGCCTGCAGGTAGAAGGCTCCTGGGAGGCAAGGGGCAGGCGAGAGCAGGTGTTGGGGAGCCACAGTGAGCCGGTGTCTGGGGGCGTGACAGAGCTCCTGCCTCTTGTCCGCCCTCCCTCTGCATCCTCAGTCCATTCAGCAACACCCCCTGGGCAGAGCCACTGTGGCCCAGTGCCCAGCCTAACGCCCCATCTGGGCCACACCCCAGCCTGGCAGGCCCCCCGGGCCGGGTCTTTCCCACCTGCCCCCCTCCTGGAGCCTGGCTTGTCTGCTGGGAGGTTTCTGGATTCCAGGCCCTTGGGCCTGTGCCCGCCGTGACTGGGAGGTATGGAAGGATGGGAGGGCCCCACCACGGTGCTGCCCGCTCCCCACCAAGCCTGGCGTGACCTGCTCCGTTTGTGACCGCCAGGCTGCTCTGCTGGGCCTGAAGCTGATGCTGCAGCCACTACTCGGTGTTGAAAAGGTAAGGGTCCCTTTCACGGTTTCATTTGGGTTCCAGCTCAGATAAAGCCTGAGTCTTCAGAACCATGATTGGGGGGAAGGGTTCTCCTACCACTGAGCCCTGACCTCTGCTCCTGCTGCGGGGGGGCTCCCCTGGGAGCACCTGACCCTGCAAGGAAGGCCCATGGGGGCGGGGCCCTGGAGGGCAGTCGCTGGACTTAGGTGGGACGGGCTCCGGAGCCATGGCCAGAGGGGCTCTCAGGAACGGGCTCCCTATGAGGACCACCCTGAGGTCCCGACCTAGCAGATGGTCCCTGTAGAGTCTGGGCTCCAGGCAGCCTGACCTGTGTGGTCGCATGGAGAGGAGAGGAGCTGAGGAAGGGTCTACTGTTGGGACCACTGGGAGGGGGCTTTGTTGAGGCCTGGCCTGCGGTGGAAATGGCCTGAATGTCCCAACACCCAGTGTCCCCGCCAGGGGCTTCCTCAGAGCTTCCTGGTGGGCTTGGGCAGCTCAGGGCCCTTTGGGCCCCATGCACAGCCATGCCACCTGTGCCAATGAGGAGGCATTCCCAGGCCACCGGGACTGCTGCCCGTGGTTGGTCTCCCTCATGCCTCCCCCACAGCTCAGTGAAGACAGGGGGACAGCTGATCTTCCCCGGGATCCCCCTTGCTTCTTGGGGCTTCCAGTCCTTTGTAATGGAGATGGAGATGACCACAGAGCCCCAGGGAGCTATGGGGCCCGTGTGCGTGGGTGTGTGTATGGGTGTGTGTGATGTGTGAAGTGCAGGCCCAGGGTATAGGCTGGGGTAAGTACACCGTGCCCTGGGAGCCAGGAGACATGTGGCTGGGCCTCTGGCCACCCCCCCCCCCCCCCCCCCCCCGCCAAGGGAGCCAGGGCATGTGGACGGGCCTCTGGTCCTCTCCATTCCGAGGCTCTGGGTTGGAGGTGAGTCTGGGGTCTTGACCGGGGGTGGAGGGTCCAGGCGCCTGCAAGGCTGTGACCCGAGGACGTGCTCCCTCACAGATGAGCACCCCGCTGCTCCTGTAGGACAGGATGGCCCTCGCAGAGTGCTACGTAGCCGGCTTCCCAGACCTCCAGAGGAGGCTGCTGGCCCTCCTGGACTCCTGGTGCCAGCCCGGCTTTGACATCAGAGTTGTGGCCAGGTGAGCCCCGTGGGGGCACAGGGTAGGGCACGGGTGACAGGCGCTCGGGAAAGCCACGCGCGTGGTCTGCACGTCACAGCTCGGGCAACCAGAGACCGGCTTCTGGAACCCAGAGGCTGCACCTGGCAAGAGCCAGACGAGAGCCCGTTAGGTCCCTTCAATGAACAGAAATAATCTTCCACATCGCATGAACAATGTGTTACACACGGAAGTCACACTGTCCCTTCACCTAACAGGTCTCATCTGGGACACACGTGGAGCCCATGGGGGTTTAAGCTGCGTGTGTGTGTGAGGTGAGGCTGTCATGCGGGGGCGGGGTGTGGGGGCGGCCGCGGCTTGAGGACCGTGAAGGCTCCTCGGGCGCCATCTGTGTTCGGCCAGTGGTGGCCTGATCCCGCACCACGAGCCGCCCAGCCCTGGGACCACCACCTTGAGATGCAGGCCCTGGGCTCTGGGGTGGACCTCCTGGGCCCAGAAAGTCCTTTCACTTCCCGGGTTTATTTCCTCTGCCCTAAAATGGCATGAAGCTCGCCTGTCTCACAGGGCTGTGGGACTCACCACACGATGAAGCTGACACAGCGTGTGCGGCCCCCAGCCCAGCCCCCATCGTGTGGTGTGTCGTCGCCGTTACTGTGTGTCTGGGAAGGGACATAGAGCAGGACCTGACTGGTTCAGTCGGTGTGGCACGAGGCTGTCGATCTTAGGGTCTTGGGTTCGAGCCCCGTGCTGGGTGCAGAGGTTACTTACAGATAAAGTTTTTTTTTTTTTTTTAAGATTTTATTTATTTATTGGACAGACAGAGATCACAAGTAGGCAGAGAGGCAGGCAGAGAGAGAGGAGGAAGCAGGCTCCCCGCTGAGCAGAGAGCCCGATGCGGGGCTCGATCCCAGGACCCTGGGATCATGACCTGAGCGGAAGGCAGAGGCTTTAACCCACTGAGCCACCCAGGCATCCCCAGATAAAGTATTTTAAAAATTGAGAAGACAAGGGGCGCCTGGGAGGCTCAGTCATTAAACGTCTGCCTTCAGCTCAGATCATGATCCCAGGGTCCTGGGATCGAGTCCCGAGTCAGGCTTCCTGCTCAGTGGAGAGCCTGCTTCTCCCTCCTCCGCCCCCTGCTTGTGTGCTCATGCTCTCTCTCTCTCTCTCTCTCTCTCTCTGTCAAATAAATAAATAAATCTTTTAAATGAGAAGACAAGGGTAGAATGGAAGAAAATATTTGCAAAAGATGCAACAGCCTCCTTCATAGTGGCCAAAATGGAAGCGTCTGGCAAACCCAACGTTAGGGAGGACGTGGAGGACCTGGAACCCCCGTGCCGCACTGGGGACAGTGAGTGCACCATGGCCGCTCGAGGAAGCCGGCCACAGCGAAACGTGTGCTCGGGCCGCCACGCAAATCCACCGTTGCAACGAAGCCAGGAGACGTGGGTGCGTTGTCTCTGGAGACTGGAGTGCTCGCAGCAGCTTTATTCCTGGTCCCCAAGCACCGGACGGATCCTAAGGACTGTCCACAGCCCCACGGCTGGAGCACACACGTCACACACGTGTCATGGAGGAATGTTGTGCGAGATGGTCCAGACCAAGCGCCCAGACCCCACGAAACCATCTGCAGGAAGTTCAGGGCCTGACACGTGGTCTCTGCTGGTCAGATGCGTGGGTAGGGGGCAGGGCTGTGCACCCCGTGTTGAGCTGTGGGTGGTGGGTCCTCAGGTGCGAGGACACCTGGGGTCCCTGCTGCTCACGATGGGTCGGTTACACCTTGACGAACACTGGTTTGTGGAGAGCACTTCTGGCAGAGAAACAACCATGCATTGTCGTCTGCTGGACAATGAAGACGACGTTTTGGAGAGAATGAGCGAGGCAGTGACCGCAGGGGAGTCTGGGCACGTGGCAGGGGTTCAGGCCGTGGTGCTCCGCGCTGGAAGGCTGAGCCTACAGCCCCCAGGAGCACGTGGGGTCCAGCACAGAGCCGGAGGAGGGCCCGGGAGCCAAGGCCCAGCACGGCTTGGCAGTCAGCCAGACCCTGGGGGCCCTGGGCCATGTGTGTTCGGGCACAGCTAGGACAGGGCTGAGGCTCAGTGCCAGTCAGGGTAGCTCAGAACACAGAACAGAGCTCTCATCAGTAAAACGCACAACGACAAAGAGAAAAGCTCAGTAAAGTTTTGGAGGGTAAATTTGATGATGTCTTCCCAAAAAGTGCAAGATTGATGAACAATGAAAATCAGAAAGAAAAGATGAAAGATTAGAGATCCTGTCAAGAAGGGCCAACATCTGAATACGGGGAACCCCAGAAAGTAAGAAGAGAGGACGGCGTTCATTCCCAAGGGGCCTGGGTCCCATGTAGCCAGTGTGCGGGGCGGCCAGAGCCGATGGGACCCCCGCTGCGGACCCAGGGCAGAGCAGGGATCACGTGGGATTCTGGGAGCATCGTCGGCCCCATGTGAGGGAGAGTGGGTTCAACCCCAAAATCTGAGCTCAGCCAAACCGTCCAGCTAGCGTGAGGCAGAGCGCAGACCTCTGCCGTCCCCATCTCCAGCTCATCTGTGCGCGCGCCGGCTGCGGGGCTGGGGAAGCGGGCTGCTCATCTCCTCATTCGCTCAGGGTGAGGCTGGTCAGGTCCTGAGGTCTGGAGACTAAGGAGGTGATAAAACCAGACAAGCGCTAACCCTAAAGAGAAGGGGTGTGGTCTGCGCTGACCATGTCTGCCACACGTGATGGCGTAAACACAGTATGTCCTGACTTAGGTGGGAACGTGGCCGCTGGTGGGGGAGGAGGGGCGGCAGCGGAGGGGTTTGGGCAGAGTGATGGAGGGGTGATGGAGGGGCAGGGGCGGAGAGTGATGGGGGGCGGGGGCGGGGCGCCTTCCGTGGCGAGATGTCCATGCGGAAGGCCTGACACTGGAGAGCGAGAGCTCGCGTCCAGGCTCGTTACTTGGAAAACGAGGCAAATACTGGACGTGACGGAATGGACGTGTGAGTGGCAGGAGCATGGCGGGCGGGACATGATGCCAGGCTGCTCTTTCTATGGGGCTCGGAGAATGACCTGCGTGTCCAACCGTGCGCGTGTGCACCGCCAGACAGCAGCTGTGTCTCTCCCGTGCAGGCAGCTCCCGCAGGTGACCCCCCTGCTGCTGGAGAGGCTGAGCCCCAGAGTGCTGAGTCGGCAGGTCCCGAGCCTGCTGGAGCGGCAGGGCCTGGACCCAGGTGAGCGGGGCTCCGAGCCCTGGGTGCCCCCGGGAATGCCGGGGCTGACCGCCATCCACCGACCCCCCTTCCTGTCACCTGCCCACCGCCGGGGGCCCTGGGCACTGGGCAGTGGACAGAAGTCTGCCAGCCCTCTGCCACCTGCAGTGACCCCTGGGAGTAGGGGCCAAGGCTGGTCCCCTCTCCCTTCCCCTGCCCCCTCCCCCCTCCTCTCATTTCATGTTTTTGTCCAGTGGAACCCCTTCTGATTTGCACCTCCCTGGTCATTAGTGACGCCTGGACCATTTCAGGTACCGGCTGGCCGTCTGACTGTCTTCTTTAGAAAATGTCTATTCAGTTTCTCTGCCTGCTTTTAAATTGGGCTATTTGGGATTTTTTTTTTTTTTTTTTTTTTGCTATTAGGTTGTGTGAGTTCCTTATGGTTTTGAGTATCCACCCCTTATCAGGAATGTGGTTTGCCAGTATTTTCTCCCATGCCGTAGGTCACCGTTTCATTTTGTCGATGATTTCTTTGTCGTGCGGAAGCTGATCGGCCGTTTGAGGGAATGCTGTCTGCTGACTGATGCCACCCACCTCGGCTTCCGGTTCTTTCCGCTGCTCGCCTGCCCCCCAAGCTAGATGTCAGCCTTCGTTCTCCGGAAATACTCTCCACACTCCACCTTTATGTTATTTCTATTACTGCGCAGCTCAAGATGTTTTCTAATTTCTATTATAAGTTTTTCTTACTTTTTTTTATTTTCTTAATTTCCAAGCCAAGTGACATTTTTCTTTTTGGTTTTCGTTTGTTTGGTTTTGGTTTTTTGTCTTGGTATGAGCTCGGTCTCACCATGATCAGAGATCATGCCTTGTACGATGTCAGTCCTTTGGGTTGAAATGTGTTATTACGAAGAAATCTACCCTCTTGTCTCTGAAAGCTGTCTCTTTTTTTCCCCTTTGGCTGTTCTTGGGATACTCTCTTTGTCTTTGATGCTCTGGGCCTCCCTGAGAGGAGCCTAGTTACAGATGCGTCCTCCTTGTCTTGCTGGTACTCACGGGCTTTGTGAGTCCGGGGCTTGCTGTCTCCAGTCGGTTCTGGAAAGTTGTAAGTCACGATCTCACACGTGGCTTCTCCTGCTTTCTTCCGCTGTTCTCTGGATCCTTATGTGTGTGTGACCTCCTCCCCCACCCTCTAGTGTCCTCTTTGTCATCCCCTCGGGTGATGTCTCCTCTTTCCCACTGCACCAAGCCTCTCCTCATCCGCGTCCCACAAAGGACAAGACACGCCCACCGCTTACCTTGCGATCGTTGTATCTTCAGCTCTAGAAGCTGTCCCATGGCGTCTTCCAGATCTGCTGTCCCACTTTGTGCGGCTGTCTGATGCTTGAACGCGTTTCTGATTTTGGCTTTTCTTTGGCTGTCTTGCTCACCGTTGTTCTGGGGTGTGTACCCACATCCCAGCCCCGGCCCTGGTCAGCATCTGTTTCTCTGTGTCCCTCGGAGGCTTGTCATCATGCTTGTTTCTGTCATCCTGGAGAAATTACATGGGTTCTCTGGCCCTTGGATGAAGGTATCCACCTCCAGAAAGGAGGGCAGTCTTTGGGGCTTTTGCACAGAGAGAAGCACATCGCCTAGAGGCTTTGATTTCTGATTAAACAGCCCACCTGGTAGCACCGGGGTTGGGGGGTACACGGGGAGAGCAACAAGGTGTGTGGACGCCTGTGGGCTGCTGTGCTGGGCAGTCAAGGTCAGTGAGGACCCAGGAGCTGCTGGCTGTGCTGATGGTGGCCGGGGGACCCCACCTCTGAAGCGTATGAGCCAGGTCTAGGAGGACCAGCCAGCTGGAGGGACCCCGGAAGCCCCGGGGAAGCAGTGGTGGGAAGGAGCCACCCTCAGCCACAGCATGAGATGGGGGGGGGCGCATTTCAGGTTCTCCAAGGAGGGTCCCAGCAACAAAGACCTCTAGGGGTGTCAGGGTTTGGGGAACTGGGAGGTCTGGAGTGTGGGGCACCTGCCCCAGCATCTGGAGAACTAGAGCACTGTGTTGACATGAAGGAGTGGCCCCCCCAGAGACCCCCCCCCCCGGCACAGGGGCCTCCAAGGTCACCTGCGCACCAGCCGTGGGTGCTGGGTGGGGGAGCCCTGCTGGCGTCCCCCAGTGGGAACATGGGTGGGCACCCAGTTCAGGCTGCCTGCCAGTGTAGCTCCCACGGGCTCTCTGCACGGAATCATTCACGGAGTCGGTGGTAGCCGCCGTGAGGCTGTCCCCGTCTCCCTGGGGCTCTTCCCACCCAGGACTCAGGACTGGAAGGAGCAGCTTGGGGAAGTCAGGGCTGGTGGGCAGGTTGCATGGAGGTCTGAGGATGCTCTGGGTGGGGCCGTCCATCCTCCCAGCAGCCCTGCGGTGCCATTGTTGACCCCCAGGGTCCCCACCTGAGGGTCAGGTCATGGCTGTGGTGGGCCCAGGGCTTGGGGCCAGAGGAGTCTTTGGGGATGCTGGGCCAGCCTTAGCCTGGCACCCCTCTGTTCAGGGTGTGTCCCCTTGAGGTCCACCCCACCCCACAGGTCTCGGCTGAGTGCAAGGCAGGAGCAGATCTGGTGTGCAGACACCCCTGAACAACAGAGACGTGCCCCACCTGTGTGCAGAGTCTGGCGGGCTGTGGGACAAGAGGGGAGTGGCAGGTGCTTTCTGGGGGTGCCTTGCTCAGGGGCCCTGCTCGGGAGTGGGGAGGACACCCACCCTCCTGGGTCTCCTGTTCTTTGTGACTGTGTGCTGCCAGGCCCCGTCTGTGGCCTCCCCCGCTGGCCCCAGGTCCCTCACACACCAATGTCAGACCCAGATGGCAGGCCGGGGAGTGCTTGCCTCTCCAGGTCGAGCTCCCCACCAGTCCCCCCAGGCCCGGGTCCCAGATGGCATCCCCCAGGGAGCCCTCAGCATGCTGTCTGGCTTGTATTTGAATTTTGTCGCATTTCCGGGTGTTCAGCGTGTGCCGAGCGGCCAGCCTGCTTCCCCTGTGCCTTTCCTTTAAAGGTTTGCGCTCGGGTCTGGGCCGGTTGGCCTGGCTGCCTTCAAGGTCCATCCTTGGGGGGGTACTGCCTCCACGAAACTTTTGGACACAGTACCCACTGGCAGAGTGATGCTTCGAAGTGTGGAACATCCGAGAGGCCGGCTTCTGTCTGCAGATCCGAGCCTGAGCGGGGGCCCAGAGAGCACGTCAGCTACCTCGTGCCCTGGCCGTAGCTCCTGTTCCCTGCCTGCTCACCCGTCCGACCCTCCCTTCCTCAGGCTCCGTCCCCCTCGCTCTCAGTGTGGCCTCAGGTTCCCAAGCGGCCTCCTGGGGTCTGGAGCCCTCAGGTCCCGGGCAGGAAGGAGGAGGAGCAGTGCCCCAGAGTCACCGGCTGGCCAGCTTTGTGTGGACGGTGGCCCCACCACAAGGGCACTCCCCGTGCTGGAAGTGGGTGCTCACGGGGCAGACACTCCCGTGGAGGGTCCTTAGAAGACCAGGTCCCTAACTGTCCTGTGGCCAGCATCCCATCCACACTGCCAGGCTTCAAGGACAGCCAGCCCCAGGAGCAGGGAGCCGCAGCCGGATGGC